TTCTGCAGCATTCATACACCTAATATTTGTACGAATTCTAGGGACTCTGACTTCAGAATCTGAGCTCTTCATCAATATATGCTACTGTCATTCATTAATAACTTTGTTATTAATAGTAAAACAAAGAAATGCCACTTTTTAATGTATGCTATGCACTTGGCTCTGTATTTAGTATTTTATAAAGTGTATCTCCTTTAATCCTTGCACAACAAACGCATGCATTGTATTTCTAGCACAACTTGTGACATTCTAAGAATAAGTTGGGGGCCAGGATGACTGAACTGCTAAGATTACCTTTTGAATTAAAAAACTTTACCTTTATCTAGTTACCTGGTGCAAAATTTGAAACCTCATAGCACTGCATGTAGAATGTAAAAAGTTAACAGCTTTGAAAACAATCTAGTAGTTCTTCAAAAGATTAAACATACAGTTACTACATGACTTGGTAATTCTAGTCCTAGGTATGTAGCCAAAAAAAAGCTAAAATATGTCCACACAAAAACGCGCATATGAATGCTCATAGCTGCATCTGATTTACAATAGGCTAGAATGAAAACAAGTCAAATGTCAATAAATAAATGTATATTCATTTGATGGAATATGATGTGGTGATAAATGAAATGAAGTACTGATGAATTTTCCAACATGAATGAACCTTGAAAGCATTAGGTTAAGTGAAAGAAGCAAATCACAAAGAATCACATATTATTATTATATGATTCTATTTTTATTAAATGGTTGGTATAGGCACATCCACGGAGAATGCAAGTTGATTGGTGGTTGGCGAGGACTGGAAGTGAAGGAATTTGGGAGAAAGTGAAGAAAGATTGCTAATCAGTATAAGGTTTCTTTTGGGGATGATGAAAATGTATGTTCTAAAATTGATTGTGGCAACTGTTGTGAGTTGAGTAGTTTTCTCCTGAGCAGGATGCAAGGATGGTTTCTTTCCCAGGTTCTTGTCCAGGTGGATTTGAAGAATTTAGTCATGGGTAAAAGGTGGTAGATGAAAAGGGTGGAAGTTTATTGGAAGCAAGTACAGACTCTCATGTAGGGAGGGAGTACAATGGGGTGACCCACTAAGCTCCTCTTTTCTAAGTTTATAAAGGCTGCAGGTTTTTGTTTCTTCATATTGCCTTCCAATTGGTAGAATATCAGCTTCAAAGCTCAAAATCCACATGGTGTGCCCCTCTTTTTCTTCCCTTTCAGGGATAGAATTCTCTATGTCCTGTGAAATTTTGTTTTTCTCTTTCTCCCATTTGTCTATCCTCTGAGAATGTTTGTTTCTTGTTTTCCCCCATACCCTGTGGCTTTTCCCTCTCTTCTGTGAATGTATGTCCTTCTCTCCCCTATATTATGGCACCTCTTTTTTCTTGTCTGTGGATGTATGCTTTTTGGTAGCTCCAAGCTATTTCTACGCCATATCTATAGCCGTGCCCCTGTACAGCATTTTTATAATTTATATAGTGATCCTAGCGGGACTTATGTTGGGCTCTCATTTGGAAATGTCAAGGGAAACAAGACACTCTGTATTTTGTGATGCTGGCTTTTCAACATGCCTCTGTTAGCACTGCACATGCCTCCCTGTAAATATGAAAGCTAATCCCACTCGGGGCTGCAGCCCTCTTTGCACTCTACAGATTGGATGCTTGTACCTGTATTGATTGTATTTTTTTAACTGGTTGTGGGAAGGGAAAAATGAAGATGATCAACCCCCCCCCCCCACACACACACACAAAAGATAAACAAGTCGATGTTTCCCATAAAGCATAATACACAGAAAGTGCTCATTCCTATAAAAACACTATTAAATTTACCAAATAAGCAACACTGCATGGACTGATTCTACTTCTGAAATAATAAATTTGTCTAACTTTTAAAAGTTCAAGAGGTGTGCGGGAGAACAAAAGCCACATGATTTTTTTTTTAACTACATTGGAAAAATAATTGCAAATACCTGACTCAATTAAAATAAGCTCCAGTTCTGATTTGAAACACCAAAAATAAAGGGAGAAGTGCAGGTATATTTTCATGTGTACGTATAGAAAACTCATTATTTTAATAAAGACATCAGTATATCCCCCTAAAGATCAATTCAGAGCAGGACTGACTAGCCAGCAGGTTGAACACCAGCCAACCAGCCCCCTTCCCTCACCCAGTCAAGCCAGCCATGCACACTGATGGTACAAACTGCAGCACAACAAGGGCTGGGAAGTTAATGAAGTCAACCTAACACAGCACCAATAACAAACGTTTTGGTTAAGGGATCCCACAGAATAGAAAAGGCAAGAATAAAGGAAGAAGTTCAGAAGAAAGAACTGAGATGGAACAGGCCCTAAAAGATATTAAAACATACTAAAAGACCACAGTTATCAAAAGAGTATGCTAAAAGAGAACAGAAAGGAAAAAAAGGGGTGGAAGGGTGGGGAGGCAAATAAAAGCAAGTATGACAGCAGCAACAAACACATCCTGAGCACTTGGGGGAGTGGCAGAAGCCACAGCACCTTCAGGAGAGCAGACCACAGCTGTTCCTCTGCTGAAATTCAGAGGAAGGACAGTGGTTCATAGGGGCTGCCAAGACCACGTCCCCTACCCACTCACACTCCTTCCTTCTCACCTGTTCCCTCATACACATCCACACACCCTCATGCACACTCACACTCAATGCACATTCACACTCACTCACACAAGTTATAAGGATAACCAAGCCAGCACAAGAGAGAAAAGGGTGATTGAATTCCCATTGGAAGGTATATGCTCTTCTATGAAACAATAAGCTTTTTATTATCGTTTGTTATTATGATGAATATTTTATACAGACATTTTAGATCTTTTCCTGATGTGGGTATCTCTGTAAGTATAATGACAAGGCCAAAGGGTAAACATAGTGTTGTGCTTCTTTTTTTAAAAAAAAAATTAATTTTATTGATTTCACAGAGGAAGGAAGTGGGAGAGAGAGACAAAAACATCGATAGTGAGAAAAATCATTGATCAGCTGCCTCCCGCACCTGCAGCCTACAACCTGGACATGTGCCCTTAATTGGAATCCAACCTGGGACTCTTCAGTCCACAGACATGCCTTCTTTATGAAATTTTAGCAGGACTGTTTCTGGGCTATTTTATTCAATTAATCCATCTTGTTGCTTTCAGGCTATTGTCCTACTGGATTTTATTTGTCTCCCCCTCTTCCCCCACCTTTTTTTCTTTTCTGTTCTCTTTTAGCATACTGTTTTGATAACTGTGGTCTTTCAGTATGTTTTAATATCTTTTAGGGCCTGTTCCATCTCAGTTCTTTCTTCTGAACTTTTTCCCCTTATGCTTGCTTTTTCTATTCTGTGGAATCCCTTAACGCCACCCGAGTAGTTCAGGGCCCACTCAGGGTCTGATTTCTAGAGAAGGCCGCACATGAAATGAAGAGAAACTGGAAGAGTTAATTTGGGAAAATGGGAGCCAGGCTGGAGTCAACCTCTAGTGGGAAGATTACCACTAGGCTCTGGCCTTGCTAACCCTTTTATTGAGGCTGCTATGGGATCCACCCATTACCCTTAAGCAGCTTTGGGAAACACCCATAGCCCTTAGGCAGGTAATAATCAGATTATCATATCAGTAAGGATTTACATGATTACAAGATGGGAAGTTGCCTCAGTTACCCTTGTCTCAATTAGATAAGGAGTAGTTGGCTCTGACCTTTCAGAGCTTCAAGGTTGACCAGCCTTTTAGATCTTTCTATTAGTGAGACAATGATTGGTTTCCAGCACTATTCCTCCACTTGAGTTTTAGAATTGTCTTGCCAATGTCCATAACTTCTCCCCTGGGGGGGGGATGTCCAAGGTCTTTAATTGGCCTACAGGTCTTTAATTCCCCCATAGCTAAGGTGACCAGACGTCCATCTTTTGGTGGGACAATCCTGATATTTAACAATTTGTCCTGTGTCCCACAGTGTTTTAAAAAAGTCGCGATTTTTGGAAAGAATGCACGACAAGCTAGGGAACAATGGGAAAATGGGAAGGGAATATAAGGTTTTCAGAGGTCATGTGGCTATTTAGCCAGATATGAGCTTTATATTATTTTTGTTAATTTTATAATGTTAAACTTGAATAATAACAAATAATTGTTTAGAACTGATTATTGAGAACTGCTTATCAACATTCTCATTGTTGATCAGATGTTAGAATTCCACCACCATTGTTTGGACTTAATGAACAATGGCATTTTTGGGGATTGGCAAGGACGAAAACATTTTGTAACTGTCTCTCACATGATACACCTCCTGTGCTAGTAAGCTAGATAAACAAGTGATGTAATTACAAATCAGATAGTCAGATAATTTAGGTTTATTTATTTCATATATACATAAACTTTCTTGAATTTAGCAGAAAGGACTTGTATTATTTATATTTTATTGTGGCAGCAAAAAGTCTAGCTCCTGCCTTGAAAGTGACACATATGACTATAAATAATTTTTATTTATTTATTATATTTGTAAATTGTACTTATGTTGAGATTAAAAAAGAATACATTACCATACTATTTTTGGGTTCTATGAAAATTTTTGTTGCTCTACATAGTCCAAATTTTTAATCAAGACCCCTCCCCCCCCACCCCCACCGCACCCCGTAAATGGTGTCCTGCTTTACCAATGTTCAAATCTGGTCACCTTACTCGTAACACTTGTGTGTGAGTCAGACTAGCTTGATCAGATAGGGTCCTCCGAGCAAGGGGGAAGGGTATGAACAGCCCCAAAAATAAGCCCCAACTCTGATTTCTAACCCTGAGGACAGGATCTAATCCACTCTAGGAGGGGGCTGCAATAATAGGCTTAGGGAGTCCCACCCTAAGGAGGAGCTGGGCTGACTACATATAAAAAGGCTCACATACTGTCTCCTGGCTCATTCTGGAGATCCTTCCTCAGAGAGCAGCTCTTCCAGATCCCAGCCTCCCAAGGCCTGCTGGACCCAGGCTCCACGGAGAACAGAAGGGAGAGGATTTCAGCCTCTTGGAAGATGGTCAGAGCTACTATGGCTACTATGGCTCCTTGGCCCGAGGCGGTAACGGCCCAGCCCAACCCAGATGAATACAAGGGAGGCATCACCGGCCAACAGCCCCCCACAGATGGAAAAGGAAAAGAGCCCAGCAAAGGTAAGTGCCGCTCATCCAACCCCAAGGGCCTCCTGTGGGCACCCCAAGAGACCCCGGGCTGATCCCCGCCTTTCTCCTTGACCTTTGTTGTTTGTTTGGCCAGGTGGTGCAGGGACCACTGAAACCAAGATTGAGCTTCAGCCATGCCACGCCACCGCCACCCAGATGGAGGAGCCCACCCATGTCGAAGACCCCTGGGCCCTGCCCGAGCTTCAGCCCGAGGGGACCAAGTGGTCGGAGAGAGACGCCAAAGGGAAGATTCTGTCCGTCCTGAAAGGGGTCGGGAGGCTCCTTCTGCTCCTGGGCCTCCTCTACCTGTTCGTGTGCTCCTTGGATGTTCTCAGCAGCGCCTTCCAGCTGGTGGGCGGGAAAATGGCCGGGAAGTTCTTCAGCAACAACTCCATCATGTCCAACCCCCTGGCGGGACTGATGATCGGGGTGCTGGTGACCGCCTTGGTGCAGAGCTCCAGCACGTCCACCTCCATCCTCGTCAGCATGGTGGCCTCCTCACTGCTGTCGGTGCGGACTGCCATCCCCTTCGTCATGGGAGCCAACATCGGGACCTCGATCACCAACACCCTGGTGGCGCTCATGCAGGCCGGAGACCGCGATGTGTTCAGAAGGGCTTTTGCAGGGGCCACCGTCCACGACTTCTTCAACTGGCTCTCCGTGCTGGTGCTCCTGCCCGTGGAGGTGTCCACCCATTTCCTGGAGGCCCTGACCAACCTGATCGTGGACTCCTTCCATTTCCAAAGTGGAGAAGATGCCCCGGAACTGCTGAAGGTTCTCACCAAACCCCTCACAAAGCTCATCATCCAGCTGGATAAGAAGGTTATCCACCGGGTTGCCATGAACGACCCAGCAGCTGAGAACAAGAGTCTGATCAAGATCTGGTGCAAAACGCTGACCCGCGTGACCCAGATGAATGTCACCGTCCCCTCGATCCAGAACTGCACCTCGCCCGGCCTCTGTTGGACAGACGGCTTTCACACCTGGACCATCAAGAACGTGACCCGCCGGGAGAACATCGCCCAATGCCAGCACCTCTTTGTGAATGCCAACCTCCTGGACGTTGTTGTGGGCGTCCTCCTCCTGGTCACCTCGGTGCTGGTGCTCTGTGGCTGCCTGGTCATGATCGTCAAGCTCCTGTCCTCTGCGCTTAAGGGGCAAGTAGCCGTTGTCATCAAGAAGACCATCAACACGGATTTCCCTTTCCCCTTCTCCTGGCTGACCGGCTACCTGGCTATCCTAGTGGGGGCAGGCATGACCTTCGTCGTGCAGAGCAGCTCGGTGTTCACGTCCACTCTGACCCCGCTGATCGCGGTGGGTGTGATCAGCGTTGAGAGGGCGTACCCGCTCACGCTGGGGGCCAACCTCGGCACCACCACCACCGCTCTCATGGCCGCCTTGGCCAGTCCAGGCAAGACCTTGAAGAGCTCGCTCCAGATCGCCCTGTGCCACTTTTTCTTCAACATCACGGGGATCCTTCTGTGGTACCCAGTCCCGTTCAGCCGCCTGCCCATCCGCCTGGCCAAGGGCCTGGGCGACCTCTCAGCCAAGTACCGCTGGTTTGCAGTCTTCTACCTGGTCACCTTGTTCTTCCTGTTCCCGCTGGCCGTGTTCGGCCTATCGCTGGCAGGCTGGCCGGCGCTGGTGGGCGTGGGGGCGCCCATCGTCCTCGCGATCCTTCTGGTGCTGCTGCTCCAGCTCCTGCAGGCCCGCTGCCCCCGCGTCCTGCCCGAGGTGCTGCAGACCTGGAGCTTCCTGCCCCTGTGCCTGCGCTCGCTGCAGCCCTGGGACGCAGCCCTCTCCCTGGCCACTGGCTGCTGCGTGAGGAGCTGCTGCTGCTGCTGCTGCAGCAAGTGCTGCCAGGAGCTGGAAGAGGATGACATCTGGATCCAGATCCCCGAGGCCTTTGGTACCATCGCCATGGGCAGATTTTAACATTGGGAAATCCGGACACCATTGACATCGGGGAGGGGTTCTTGATGAAACATTTGGTCTATATGGAGCAACAAAATTGTCATAGAACGCAAAAATTGTATTGTAATATATTTTTTAACTGTCAACCTAAGGACTGTTTACAAATATAAATAAATAAAAATTATTTTTATAGTATTTTATTCTTTGCTATATTTCTCATTTGAGTGAATTCTTTTTTAAGTAGATTGCTGTCGTTTAAAAGGTCATGAAATTTTTCACAAGAATTTGTAAAATTATATCTCACATAAAATGGTTTTCAAAGTCTTAACACTTAGTTGTGATTTCTCTGATGTCCACACTTTATTTACCGTAGGAAAAAACGTGTTCACTTGTAGCATTAGTTCCTGGTAAGGACAGCATGTATTCCACAATTCTAACAACTGATCAACAATACCAACTTTGATCAACAATAAAAAACTTTGTTATTATTTAACATTACAAAATTAGCAAAATAATATAAAACTCATATCCTGGCTAAGTAGCCACATGGCCGCTGAAAACCCTAGAATCCCTTCCCGTTCTCCCGCTGTTCCCTAGCTTGTAGTGCATTCTTTCCAAAAATCGGGACTTTTTAAAAACTCTGCGGGACACGGGGCAAATTGTTAAAAATGGGGGCTGTCCCAACAAAAGCAGGAAGTCTGGTCACCTTACCCAAGTCTCAAGAGGATACCCTGAACACAAACACCACCTCCAGCCTCACAGCCTTGTAGGGAGGCAGGCGGAGGGCCCCCAAGTCTCCCTTGCTTCCTCCTTGGTTCTGCAAGGCCATTCTCCACTTTGCTGAGAAATGGCATCAACATCAGCTCTGACTCTAGTTCCCCTTTGCGAATGTGTCAGCCTCCCTAGTTGCTCTGGCTCTGCCCCAGCTCCCTGGGTCTCCCACTCCCAGGAAGGTGCAGAAAGAATTAGACAATGACACCTAGCTAGATAACGGATCCCCTCCACCCATCCACCCACTCTTGTCCACACAAGGGCTGGCCCATGGGACGTATTCTCAGACGTAACCATCTTCTGAAGTCCCAAGGGAGGAATTTATGGAAGGTTCTCAAAGATGCTCACACATATGCTTTTCTCATTGTGATAAAATTCTCTTTCACCAAAGCCTGGCTGCAACCCAGAGCGGCTGCCTGCCAGGTGTCCTCTCCCCAGAGCAGGCCAGTTCAGGGCAAGAGGCCTTGGAGGACACAGGCATGGGCCCCCCAAGATCCCCTCCCCTGGGCAGGTCTGGCAAGTCCGAGCATTTTACCTGCTGAGACTTTGAGTTTGACCCACCTGTTGCCTCTTGAGATCAGGTGTCAGCAGGGTCCGACTGTGTGTCTGTGGGTCCCAGGGGTGTGCTCCTTCTTGCCCCACAGGCCCTCTGTGCCTACTGGAGCTCCAGCTATATTTACCCCTTTGCCCTCCACACTCCTCACCTCTAATTCTCCCTGAAGAGGAAGCTTCAACTGGGTCCGGGGAGGGGGAGCTATGCCACAGTGCATTCCTCATGACAGGCCGGGACACCACACCAAGCCCTCCTCTGTCCTTCCCCTGTATAGATACCAACTCCCTAAAGAACAGGAATTTCTATGTCATATTTATAGCCATGCACCTGTACAGCGTTTTTATAATTTATATAGTAATCATAGCAGGACTTGTGTGGGGCTCTCATTTGGAAATGTCAAGGGAAACAAGACTCTGTATTTTGTGATGCTGGCTTTTCAACACACCTCTGTTAGCACTGCACGTGCCTCCCTGTAAATATGAAAGCTAAGCCCACTCGGGGCTGCAGCCCTCTTTGCACTCTACAGATTGGATGCTTGTACCTGTATTGATTGTATTTTTTTAACTGGTTGTGGGAAGGGAAAAATGAAGATGATCAAATTCTCCCCCCCACGCCCCGCCAAAAAAAGATAACTAAGTCGATGTTTCCTATAAAGCATAATATGCAGAAAGTCCTCATTTATATAAAAACACTGCTAAGTTTACCAAATAAGCAACACTGCAAGGACTGATTCTACTTCTGAAATAATAAATTTGTCTAACTTTTATTTTTATTTATTTATTTATTTTTTTAAATCAATCTTTATTGTTCATATTATTACAAAGATTTCTCATTTCTTCCTCCCTCCACCAATTCCCAACCCCACCCTCCACCCCCTCCCCACCTCTCATTGTCCTCATCCATTGGTGCACAGTTTTTGGTCAGTCTCTTCCCACATCCACCACTCCTCCATTCCCAGGGAACTGTCAGTCCACTACCCTCCCATATCTCAGACTCTACTACAATCAACAGCTAATATTGTTCATCAGGTTTTTCAATCTCGTTTTGTTGTTGTTGTTGTTTTAATTAATAAACTTTTACACTTCTAAGAATAAATTTTAAAATCTAATAATTTTAAACCTTGTTTTTTCTGCCCTGGGAATTGAGAAGCAAATTTGTTTACATGTAATCTTGCCCTTAGGCTATCAAAAGGTGTAGCCATTCAAGTGTAAATGGACACATTGTTTAAAGATAGCTGCTGGTTGGAATTGGATTACCTGTTCTGGGTGGGAAGGACTTGTCCTCACCTTCCTCCATTAAAATTAAGGTGTTAGCTTTAAAACCTTTTTTTGGCAAGAGACCTTAAACTTTCAGAACTTTAAATTTTTCAGATAGTACATCAGTTACTTAGCATTTTCTCAAATTGATAATACCTCCACATGCCCAAGGATACACTTCACACAAAAGACATTTCCAAACAGATCAACCAACCTCATCCAGGCCCCACACAAGGCACTCACAGATCAATACCCCAGCGCTACAACAACTCAACACATCCAGATCTAAGCCTTCATCACTTGATTCAGCAGACCCTCAAGTTCCCCCTAAAGTTTCCAGCCATGTCTGAGAGGCAGCCCTGGGGCGTGGGCAGGCCAGGAGAGAGCTGTTCTGGGCCTGGCTGCTCCAGGCCTGGCCTCTGTTGCTCTGGTCCACTCCACAACCAGCTGATCGGGGTCTGGCCACTGCCGCTCCAGGCCTGGCTGCTTGCGACCGGCTGCTCCCGGGCCTGGCAGCTCCAGGCCTGACTGCTGGTGCTCCAGGCCTGGCCGCTCCCGGCTTGGATGTTCCGGGCTTGGCTGCTGCTGTTCTGGGTCTGGCTGCTCCCGACCCAGCTGCTCTGGGCCTGGCCGCTCCAGGCCTGGCCACCCTGGGCTTGGCTGCCTCTGCCCCAGGCCTGGCTGCCACTGCCCCATGTCTGGCTGCTCCAGGCCTGGCTGCTGCTGCTCTGGTTCTGGCTGCTGCTGCTGTGGGGTCTGGCTGCTGCTGCTCCAGGCCCGGCTGCCACTGCCTTGGGCCTGTCCACTCTGGATCTGGCCGCCGCCGTTCCAACATTCTGTCCTTTTTTTTTTTTTTTTTAAGCATTTATGTTGCAAAGTTGGCTGCTGAGTTGAGGAGTTCTGTCTTAGTCCTCGATTTTTCAAGATCTTCTTTGTATTCTTTCTTAAGTAATTTTACTATCTTTTGCTATAACTTGATTTCTTCACATTGAAAACTTCTTCGGTTTCTTCCTCCTCATACTGGAAGCTCAGCAGGCTGGCCTGCAGCACCCCTTTGTTCTCCACGGCCTCCTGCACGGCTTCAGCCTGTTGCTGGGGTCGGCGCCGCCCAGGAAGCATCCCTCAGCCTCAGCTCCGTGGGCCGAAACCAGCGGTCAAGGGCCCAGCGGCACCCCCTACTGCCCCCGGAGCTCTGTCACCTGGCTCCTTGCCAGCGCCTGGCTGGCCAGTGTCCAACAGCAGTTCCTGCTCCTCATCGAGTTCCTCCCAGTCTGGAGCTTTTTTCTCCTTCCCGCTAGGGGAGTCTAGCATCAGAGTCAACAGACTGTCCTCAGCGTGCAATGTGTGCGACTTTGGGGGTTCTGTCCCTCGCCACTCCCCTGGGACTCTGCCTCACAGCCCCGTCTCCTCCTGCCTGAGCTTGGGTCCCCAGGGTCTGGCCAAGAACTGGGGCTCAGCGCTGCCGGTTCTGGGGTTCAGCCCATTCCGGGGCTTTTATTTCTTCCCTGCTAGGGAATACCAGGCAGGCACCCAGGCTTCTCCTCCTCTCCCGTTCCGTCCTCTCTGCGCACACACGAGCGCAGCATGGCTCGGTACCTTAGGCTTTTTCAGCTCCTCTGATTTTCCTTCTGGTTTTCTCTTTCCTTCTTGTTGTAGAATTTTCAGTTAGTCGACTACCTGTAGCTCTGGGCAATGTCCATTTTATATTTTAGTTGTATTCCATTGAAATTGTTGTGTGTGGCTGCGGTTAGATGTTTACCTGTGCAGCCATCTTGGATCCTCTCTGATTCTATTATAACTTTTACTTTTTTGTTTTTTATTTTTAAATATATTTTAATGATTTTGTACAGAGAGGAAGGGAGAGAGATACAGAGTTAGAAACATCGATGAGAGAGAGTCATCGATCAGCTGCCTCTTGCGAACCCCCTACTGGGGATATGCCCACAACCAAGGTACATGCCCTTGAATGGAATCGGACCTGGGACCTTTCAGTCCCCAAGCCTACCGTCTATCCATTGAGCCAAACTGGTTTCGGCTTGTCTAACTTTTAAAAGTTCCAGGAGAAGTGGAGGAATAAAACTACATGATTTTTTTTTTAAACTACATTGGAATAATAATGCAAATACCGGGCTCAATTAAAATAAGCTCCAGTTCTGATTTGAAACACCAAAAATAAAGGGAATAGTGAAGGTATGTTTTCATGTGTACATACAGTAAACTCATTATTTTAATAAAGACATCAGTATATACCCCTAAGGATCAATTCAATGCAGGACTCTTTAGCCAGCAGGTTGAACACCAGCCAACCAGCCCCTCTCCTCACCCAGTCAAGCCAGCCATGCACACTGATGGTACAAACTACAGCACAACAAGGGCTGGGAAGTTAATGAAGTCAACCTAACACAGCACCAATAACAAACGTTTTTGTTTGCTGTATTTTA